TTTTTGTTGGGTGACAAGGGAAGTGGGCTCCATTTCAAAATAAAAGAAAAGAATAATTCTACTTCCTAAATCACCTACACATATATTGCTTCAAATTTACATAATGTGCTGCTCTCATAATCTTATCAAAATTCGCCCAAAAAATTCCTAATAAACTAAAATAATGATAAATGAAATTAAAATTTTGAATCAATAACTTAACATAAGTTATATTATTTAAACTATTAAAAATTAGATTTTATATTATTTAATGATTAATTCTTTTCATTTTATTAGAACTTATGATATCATATATATCAACTCATTTAATAATTTAATTTATATTACATCATTTATCCTAAATTTCCGTCCCCTTTTCATCCTAGGTATCACTACTCATTAAATTAACTTATCAATGTCAACCAAAAAAACAAATGAAAAATGAGACTCAAAAGCAAATCATTAAATTAACAACAAACTCATTTCAAAAATTAAATTAGTTTTGCTCATACATGATTTTCCCTTCTCTTGAAACCAAACCATGGAGAGAAAAAAAAATTACAATATTCTGATTTTTCAGCCAATTTCTTGATTTTTTTGCATCACAAAGCTAGCTATCAATAGTCAATCAACTTTTATATATATATATATATATATATTGCTAAATACTGCAAACTTAATCAGCAAGAATTTATAAAAAAAGAGAAATTCATTTGATAAAAGTGGGTGAATTTTAATTGTAAATTATGAAATGAACGAATTTTAATATTCATAGCGCTCACAAATTCAAAGAAAAACAAGTGTATTTGGGTTTCTTTGGCACCATGCAAGCTGCCATTTATTAGGGAATGCATCCAAAAACCCAAACAAAGGAAGAAAAGAGAACCCAAAAAATTTATTTTAAAATTTATTTGTTTCATTAAAAATAAAAATATTTAATAAGTCTGATGAAGAGGTGCCACGTTGTTGCTTGCTCAATGGTGAGTAGAGTAAGGAACAAGCACCATTAGTTTTTGATATAATAATGATGGCATCCATCAAAGAAGTGCTTATTTGCCACTATATATTGAAGAGTTCACGGGGTTGTATGTTGCTGAAATCAGTTTAAGGGCTAATCTGCCACTAATAGACAAGTTGAAGGGTTGTTTTGCATGATTTGCTTTTTAATGTTTTAAATTAAACAATCTTGAAAGACCATAACCACTCCCTCATACTATCTTGAATGACCATAACCACTCCCTCATACATGCACCATGTGCTTTGAATTATAATAGTGAAATGTAAGTTTTGGTAAGAATGTTCGAGTTTTTAATTGATTCATTTGTTGCTTTCAAGAAATGATAAATATATGGATTACTTGTTATGTGTTACGCAATTCAAACACCACAGTTGGTAGATGAAATTCATAGAAAACTTCAAATTTGATTATTTATGCTAAAATTTCAAAAATGACCAATAATTTAAGCAACTCAATTCATTCGTTGCTTCTAATGATGATTAATGTCATTGATTACTTGTTATGTGTTACGTAGTCCAAACACCATAGTTGGTAGATGAAATTCATAGAATATTTCAAACTTGATTGTTTATGTTAATATTTCAAAAATGACCAACAATTTAAGCACATGACATATAAGTGAGGTAAGTTAAGAAATGTAAGAAAATTACTTCTTCCCATGAAACTCAAAATTGAAAAAAAAAAAAAAAACAATCCAAGAATGTCACTCTAACATTTTTTTTATAATAACAAAATAACAATTGATCAGAACACGCCAATGAATGAGTTTGAGTTGGATATAAAGTATGCTTAAAGAACATAATTTTATTATACAACTCAAAATCATAAGTAATAATTTTAGAATTATGAGGTCTTAGCCTCTAATTGATTTGAATGAAACTACTTAAATATCATTTTATTTATTTACAACATCAAGTCATTGCAGTTATGCTTATAGTTATTTTTTTTTTTTGTTGTAAAGTAAGAGGTTGGAAGGGAGAAGTTGTCTTTAATTTATTGTACAACTCAAAATAAAAAAATAAAAAAACTACAAGCATAATTGCTATTTCCCTTTCTTCTTCATTCATCAAAGCTATTTTTTGGGTATTTTTCTTGTTTGGTGAAGATAAAGTAAGTAAATACTATGTCGGAGTTAGCCATTTCCCGTTAAAACATTTCCAAAGGTTTAAGGGCGGTTTGTAGATGTTTAAATACTCTATGGCAAATTTTACAATTTCACAAATTATGTACGCTACCAGTTAACAAAAAAGGGATTAAATTGGTAAAAGTTTGTTAGAAATCAATTTATTCGATAATATATTTTGCAATTTAAACTGTATTTATATTTTAAGACTCCAATAATTAAATACTCAATTATTATCATAAATATTATTTGGGTCATTATTTTTACTCACCATTTTATTTAAAATTATAAATTTATAATTCTTAATTAATTTTAATTAAGTTTTAATATTTTTTAGAAATAGTAAAAGATAACAAAAAAAGAAAAAAAAAATTACTCTGCAGCAAACTGCAGCAAAAGACAGCAATACAAACCTAAGCTTTAGCTATATCTCTTCGCATGTGAATTTTTTTTCACAAAAATGAAACTAAAGAAAGTTTTACAACTCCACAAATTAAAAGTATTTAGTTATGAATTTACGCTTTTGCTTGTAAAGTTTTGTCTTAAGAATGAATAAGTTGAGTAAACATATAATTGGGGAATTACAATTCTAAAAGCAAAGGAAAGAGGAACCGTCTGAAACCAACAAAGCAACAAGAGTTATCACCATAAGCAAAGAGCCGTGGGGTCCGCAACTCCGCATCATGGTTCGATGTCCTTGTTAAAGAAGATCAATCCATCACTGGTTCCCTTACCAAAAAAAAAAAAAAAAAAAGAATAAAAATGAATGAAAAGAGGAATGATGAGCCTAAATTTCATACAATTTTACATGATTTTTTAGTCATGAATTGGAGTTTTTTTGGAGTGATTTTATTTGGTTTTACATTGTTTTCATCATTTTTTGTAGGTATAGGGTAAAATTGAAGAAATCAAGAGTAAATGGGCTGAAATAACAAAAGCTGTAAAGTGAAAGACTGACTCCATAATTTCTCCATTTGAAGACTAAAACTTGAATTGTTTTATTTCTGTACACGTGCTGCGCACATCAGTGTACAGGTGGGCCTTCAAAATGAATGGGCTTTTGATGATGGCTTTTAAATAAGGGCACGATCAGTATATAAAGGGCGGAGGCAGTCAGTAGAGAAGAAAAGCGTCTTGGAGGCAGAGCAAGCTAGATCTCTTTGTGGGTGACGGCAGAAACAAGGACAGCCACAGAGGAGACTCTACTCAAGAACAAGGGGAAAGGGCACCAGTGAAGAGTAAAAAAGTAGTTCAAGTGTACCAAAAATTTGGTTTTGCTCTCCTATGCTTTATTTTTTTTCTTTATTGGATATGAAATTATGGTTCAATTTAATCTTAAATTTTATCATGTTTAGTATGAACTAATTTTACCATCTAAGGTTACGATATAATCCAGTCAATTTGATATAGAATTTTATGATTTTCATACTTTTAAAGATTTATTATTTCATGTAGAGTATATGTTATTGTTTTTAATACTTTTTAATAATTGGTCACCATTAAAATTGATTTGAAGAATATAATTGAAACCGAGAGTAGATTTTATGCAATAGCTTCTAATAATATATGCCATAAATTAAACAAAAGCCAAAGATGAACCAATGTGATTTGTGCAGCGTTAGTGATAAATAAACTTAATTTTTTATGTAAATTAAGGAATTTCACAGAATATAATGCATCTTTATCTATTTTATTGTTGGTTAATAAATTAAAATAGATTTAGTATAACTTGCGAAAGTATATTGAATAAGATAAAAAATACCGTTGTCATATGAATAATAAATACCTTGGAAGTATATTAATCTAAATTCTAAATTAGTTGACTATGGTGAAATTGGATGTTTTAAAATTTTGATTCTTGGTGTTACTCAAGTTAATTTAGTTTTTTAAAATTTTTTTTAGTTAATTACTTTATTCAATCATTTAATTTTAATTGTTCAAATAAAATTAAAATTAGTTAATTTTAATACTTAATTAGTCTATAATCTTTGTAAAATGGTACTCTATTTTCATCATTATATTACTTGAATAACTAGTACTTTTGCTAGGGTGGATTTAGCTCATCAAGGAAGAAGAGGCTCAGAGTGAAAATGGGTGTGGAGTGGAGAGATTTATCAGCACATAATCTACTAAGAGCGGTGCATGACTTTGTCTAATTCCTCATCAGTGCCCCCACACTCCAACAGATCATCTCAGAGCAGGCACAAAAAAAATATTATATATATATATATATCTTTAAATAAAATTGAAACAAAATAGCTAGGTTGAAACAGAACCTCGGCTAGACGGGGAAACAAGAGACGAGGACACAGGGAAGGCGAAGTTTCGGCTTTATATATATAGAGTGAAACTCGAACCCCTAATCTCTTTCACTTTTACCCCCATATGCTACGAGGGAAGGGGCATCATAAGTTCATAAAAGATCCCTAGTAGCAATGTATTGGATCTTCCTTAATTCTCATATAAGAACTTGACTAGATTCTTACTCACTAATTTAAAATTTTTAATTTAGAGTCTTTATCAAGAGTTCAAACCCCTACAACATCAATCAAACAGTTAACTTTCCTGATATTGAAAAAAAAAAATTTCCTTATGAAACTCTAAGTATGGTTGAGTAATCTAATGTCAAGTGTAATCTTCCTACTAATCTTTTACTCCTACCAACCAACATAATCTTTTACTGGATCACGCCAGCGATGGCCCGACCGATAGGCAAATCATTCAATGGAGAAAATAATAAGGACAGAGTTGATGGAGAAAATCTAATCTTTTAATAAAAGTTTACAATAACCACATGACATCATATATATTGAGCTGATGCATTTTGATTTATGCACCCAACTGAGTAAAAAAAATTCAATCATAAATATTAGCTGGTAGAATTGTCAAACATTTTCATTGAATCATTTTAATATACCAAAATGGAGCGAAAATCTAGCCAGCTTCCAAATGCAGGCTGAACGGCTTTCGTTTCACAATGAAAACGTGTATAACAACCACAGTTTACACCTCTGGAAACTAAATTTTTGTACATTCGCCAGACTCAGCAGCTGAGCTTTGACCAGATTATTTGCAGGTTTCATCAGAATTTTTTCTATACATTTCTGAAGTTAGAAGAAAGCAGCAAGATCTCCTCCACAAGTTCTCGCCAATATATAAAAACAGGTTACTATCACAACTCTGCATAAGGGGGAAGAGAAAGAAAAATGTCTAGGAATGATGAAGTTGGCATACACTTACCTAGCACGTTAACCTTGTTAAGATCATTTTGATATGCCTTTTGTAAATAGCTATAGATGTTATCTGCCCATCTTAGTCGTGGATACTGCATTTTTGGATTGGACTTGCGGTCTCTTGACACTGTGCAAACCACTGTCACTAACACTGCCTCCAGGAAGATTATCGTGAGCATCAGAAAATTCCCCAGTCCATGAACTTAGGGGAATGAGATAATTATCATCTTTAGATCTCCTCATTGATTCCCGATTGCGTTTCACATTTTCAGATATCTGATAGAAAGTTTTATTTATTTTTACAATTCCCTTTTCGACTGGTTCAACAACATGTGAAACTGCATACTTCATGTCATCAACAATCTAGAAATAGAAAAACAGAAAGTCACCAAATCAAGCAATAACTAATAGGTTTCTAACATGCCAACCTAAAAATCCATGACTGAAATTAGAAAAAAGGGGGCTAGAGTCTTACTATTTCACCACTCCCAAAGACAACATCATGAACACTCTGGGGAAAGTTAAGACGCTTTTCACTCTCATCAATTCGACCCACGCATAATTTGGTAGATCTTTCACAGTCCTGAACCTCTTCTGGATCTAGTGGCGTTCCTAAAGATGCATAGTCATTCATTACAGCCACAT